CGGGTTCCCTGTTCTGGGCCCCCCAGTTTCCGGCTGCTGGTTCCGGGCCGATTCCAGCGGGCGGCGGGGCCCCGGGGTTTCCAGGTTCCCGGATTATGGGTCGATGTCCTTTTCGACCGGTCTCTCCATCGATCACCTCTCCATCGATCTCACAGAATCGACTTCATTATCGGTTTCACGATCGACCTTACTTTCGCCCCCACTGTCGATCCCATGATGGATCTCATAATCGATTTCACAATCGATCACAAGATCCACATGATTATCGAACGCACTAGCGACCCCAAAAACGTTTCAAATGTACACGGAACCGGCGTGAAGGGCCTCCTCGAAGCTTCGGCGCTTGCCAAATTTTCAAATCTTGCTCTGGTCGGGGGCTTTCCTCGGGTGCAGTCGTTTTTCTTGCGAAACTCTCAAGGGGGCTCGCCCCGTGCAGGGCCCCCCCGCTCTACTGGCGGGATGCAGCCCGTCTGAGGCACTAGGAGGTCGCCATGTTGGAAGCCATCCTTGGGGGCGGCTTCTTTCGGGGATCCTCGTCCGGAACCTCTCGCAGCAAATCGGCTTGGGAACGCCGTGCGCCCTCGCGCGCGGCCGCCGCTTTAGTTTTTCCGTCGACGGTGCGATCGCCTATCCCGGGAAGTTTCCATGAGCCGTTTCTCCGCGGGAAACTTGCGCGAGTTGGTCGGGGCGCACGTTTTCCCACGGGGCCGCTCTAGCCGAGATGTCTCCGGCGCAGAGGGCCGAGGAGGGCCGCCCGCCAGCGCTCGACGTCTGGAGAAGTGCGCACTATAATGGATCGGCGACAGCTGCATGCTCGCGCGCGACGGGGCCGACTAAATCGATGGCGATCACGACCCCGCGGCGCATTGGGGCGCGATGCCCCGCCGCGGATCGGGAACTACGTCGACGACGTCAGCCCCGGCGCGATCGGAGGCGCTCGGGAGGTCGCGCGTCAAATAAATACGATTTGCCACTCGGGACCTCCTGACAGACCTCCAGAAGACGGAGGCCCCGATCTCCCTGGGCAAGATGGGTTTGCTTCGCGAGGGAAGAAGGTTCCCCCGTCAGAAATCGCCTCGGGCTTCCAGGGCGCCCGGCGCCCCAGCTGCCCCGTTTCGGCGGGGGCGCCGTTGATGGGCGTCGTCGTCGGATGGGGGCCCGACTTAATCAGGCGCGCGACGCCGCGGCGCCGCGGGGAAAAGGGGCGGCGCCCAGCTTTGCTGGGCCACGGGGTGAAGCGTCATGCCGCCCTTCGGTCTGGAGTTCTTCCGAAGAGCCCCCAGGGGGGCAGCGTTGCTCGGGGCCCCGAATGGTCGCGCCCAACATCTTCGGGCGCCCTTCCTGAGCGCCGCCAGCAGGCTCAAACCAGCGGCCCGCGCGGGCCTGGCACGACGGCTCTCAGAGAGCGGGTGGCGCGCAGACCCGCCAGCCATCGCGACGGCCGATGCGAGGCAGACGTTCGTCGCCATCGCGGCTGCCCGCGTGGCGCCAGCGAGGGCAGTCAGACCGGCATCCCTGGAACAAAGTACAGGGCCCAATTGTTGCGCTCTCGGTAATTTTGCAGATATGGTTGGCCCTTGGAAAGCGCAGCTGAAGTCGGACGCGACGAACGCAGATCCCAGGTCACATCGATGTTTTCGGCGGAGCCCACGCCAGAACTAGTCGAGGCGCCCCGCCGCGCGCGAGCAGGCAGGTCCTCAACATCCTCCACGGCAGTGGTGGCGATGCCAGATTTGGAGAGATCTCGTGGATGCCCCTCCACGCGGCGCTGAGGCCCCGCGAGACCCCGCCCCAGGAGAGGCGTTCCCTCGGGGGCCCCGCATCATCACATGGGCATTTGTGTCAAGCAAGGGTGGCATTGATGTCGAGCAAGGGTGGCCCTTTCCGCGGACTCTCCAACCGCGACGCCCACGCGGGCCGGGGACAGACCGCTATGCCCGAGCAGGCCCGGGAAGCAGCAGTGGCAATTTCGACGAACCCAATGGCAATGCAGGACAAGATCGCGGGGCCTCCCACAGAAGCCACTGCAGTCTTTCTTCAACCAGCCCAGGGAGGATGCATACAACGTCCTTGGCCTGGACTACGCTGGTGCTGTCTCTGTCCAAAGCGGAAATGTTATTGTAGATGGTAATGTTTTGTTGGCAGCCATTCCGGGTTCAGAGCAGCAGAATTGGTCGCAATCGTTCGACCAAGACTTAAGACGCATAGGTAGATTTTGCGGCTCAGTTCCGGAAGTTGCGGCGCCGTCACAAGTGGCAAAAGATGGATAATTTCACGCCGTATACCAGGCGTCACAGGTGGTGACGGGATCACGGGCGCTGCCCTCAGAATGTAAGATCCCACTGGCTTGCCATCGAAGCGGCGCAAGGGCGCCAGGAGCCACGTGTGCCAGAGCGCACGCGTGGAGGATGATGGGATTGCGAGCGGTTTTCGTCGATCCGTGTTTTGCCTTTTGTGAAAGGCCATTCGAACATGAAAGATGCGAGGGGCAGATTTATCACCCATCTCCAGAACAAAAAGAAATGAGGGGGCCGATTCTGTTGCCAAATGAAGTTTGGCACTTCATCTGCCCCCAGACTGGCTGGTGCACTTCGTCAGTGGACTATCTTGCTCGTTTCAAGGTGCGGTCTGATTCCCAAAAAGCCGAGCGCGGCAGAAGACGAGGTGCGCATCCGGACTGCATTTCGCCGCGAACAAAAGCCCAGTTGAATATTGGTTCGTGGGGGGACCTGCCTTATTTGAGCACCAGGCATAGGATGTTTCGCGACGTGTTGGATGCATTTCCACACTGTCTCTCGCGCAGGATTTGACGCGCAGTGCCCGGGCCGCCCCTCGACAGGCCGCGCGTCAGAGAACGCGAGACACTTCGAGACTTTGAGACCGTCAGGGTGCGAAGAATACAGGAAAGCTGGCAGGCCCATCGCGACCATCACCTTCCACGCGGAAGATCATGCGCAAGGTTACGCAATGGATTGGCCCGCTGGTTGGTTCGTTGATGGAGAGGCCTGCAGCACCTAAACGAATGGAGCACGACACGAGATATTTCTACATTTCCAGAATCCTCGATGGATACAGGATCTCATGCGGAGAAGCGATCGCGCTTGGCCAACCGACCCAGAGGACGGCTCGGATTTCGCCAGTGATGATAACACAATGTGTGACGCCCTGGGCACTTTTTCAAGCCAGGCCGCAGTGAGAGGTTTGTCCGCGTGGCTTGGAATCCATTTTATGTTCAGTTATTTGGCGCACGAGTGCGTCTCCCTGACGGTCGTCACCGCGCGGCACACGCAGGGACCAATGCATTCGGTGGCGCCCTGGAGTATGGGTTCCAGCTCTTTTTCGGGCCCCTGGTTTCCTCGGCTGGAGCCCTGGAGGAGCCCGACCTGGTCTCGGCCGGCCTCGTGCTAGCGAGCACGGGCCTGCCACAGGCCCCGTGCTCCCTGGCCCCGCCGTGGGCCGCTCGCTCGGGGCCGACAGGCACCCCCACCCTCCCACGTCTTGGCGCAAGCAACGCGGTCCTGGCAGTTGGGTTCCGTGGTGTTGGCTCGAAATGGGAGGGCCTGAAATACCTGTGTGGACCTCGCGCCCGCCCGCGCCGGACGAACCTCTTGCCTCTCGGCTTCGGGAGCCTCGAGACGGGGGTCAATACAGACGGGGGTCAGCCAGGGCGCCAGATCCTGCAGGATCCTGCGAAGACCCCCTCTGGCTGACCCGGGTTAGGGAGCCGCTCGTGGCCGCGGGGCGGCCGCGCGTATTGGCTGACCCAGGTTTGCGAGGACCTGCGTTGCAGTTTTTTTTCCCTGCATTGCAGTTTTTGGTTTCCTGCTGACCCGGGTCTGGATTGACCCGGGTCAGAAGATCCCCGATCGGCTGCTCGCTCGCTCGCTCGCTCGTTCGCCCGCTCGCTCGCTCGCACGCTCGCTCGCTCCCTCCTCCTCCTCCTCCTCCTCCTCCTCCTCCTTCTCCTCCTCTTCCTCCTCCTCCTCCTCCTCCTCCTCCTCCTCCTCCTCCTCCTCTTTTTTGGGGCACGATAGGTGCACGTTCCCCCCCCCCCCAGCTGACGCCCCCCATTGTCGGCCACGCGCAGGGGGGGGAAGGCTTCTTAGAAACATCCCTGCTTCTTAGAAGGCGCGGGCCTCATCTACAGATGTAGGGCTGGCGTCTTGTGAGAAGCAGCTTCCTTCTAAGAAGCCTTCCCCTCTCCCCCTGCCGCAGTTGCGCGCGCCCCGACCCCCAGAGGTCTCGACCCATTCCCGTGGACCAGTTTGTCACTTCGAGTCGTTTTTTGATGGCCCCCAGGCCCGGTAAGGGCGCCCGGGAGGGCAGAAATTACAAAAAAACTAGCCGTCGTGATTTTTTGCGATTCGAGGGGGTCTGGGTTGTGCGCGCCGTCCCCCCCATTTGGGCGACGTAAAAAAAAACGGGATCGTTTTCGCCACCATTGGCGCGCAAGCTGCCCGCGTAAGGTCGCGCGTAAGCGCCCCCGTCTCCAAAGCAGCATGCCGCGCGGGCGGCCCGCGCAAGCCGCCGCGCAAGGTCGATATGCCATCTCGCGAAGACACTTCTTGGATTGGGAGAAGGAAGCGCACCACCACCACCAACCACCACCACCACCACCACCACCACCACCACCACCACCACCACCACCACCTGGGGGGACTCAGGATGAGCTGGAGTGTGGGATGCGGGTGTGCACGATGTCCCCGCGAGAGCGCCCGAAACGATATACACCGCCGGACCACCCCCTGCATCCATCCTCCAGGTGGTGTCTCCTCCTCTCTACCCTGAGATCCGACGTGGCGAAAATATTGCAACATCGTGAAAATCCGCGCCCGGAGCCCCGATGCCCATCTTTCTACGCCATTTATCGGGCCGGATCGATCTGTGAGGGCCCCGGGGCCCGACGAAAGGCGAAACGCCCAGCTCGAAAAAAACGACTCGCCAGGATCTCGGGGTATGTCGGTCGCCCCTCCGCCGGCCCCCTCCGAGCAGCGCCCGAGGTGGAGGCGGAGGAGGTCACCGCGAGGTCCAACCAGGAGGCCCGGGGGGCGGAGCGGCACGTCAAGCAGCTGAAGGAGCTCGCCCGGCAGGTGGACAGCGCCATGGCGTCCTCGAGGAGCTCGCCAGGGGGGGGCGGACCCATCAGGGGCAACGATGGCTACGGGCCCAGGGAACTGTCGGCTTCGAGGTTCCAGGCTCGAGGTTTTCGGGCGCTTTATCGTCGGTTCTCGACGGTCTTCTGGGCCCCCAGGATGCTTCCCAGCAGCTGCGCCTCGCTGAGAGCGTTCTGGGGATGCCAGAATCGTCCTGGACGGCCGCTGGAGAGTCGAATTTGGGCCTGAAAACCAACGGGCATGGGGATATAGGCATAGGGGGGGATGCATCGGCCCCCAATCGCCCACTGATCGCCGATGGGGGCCCGATAGCCCCAACCTGCCCAGGGAGGTGCGGATTCGCGATCGCAGGCCTATCGCCGATCCATCAGCGATGTACCGCCGATTCCAGGTCGATGCATCCCCCCTTATGGTAGTCCCCCCCCTATCGTTGCCCCTCAACCCAGTCTCAGACAAGGTCGCGTCGTAATTACGGTAAAAGGGCGGAGGTTTGGCGTCGTTTTCGGCCTCTGGAGGCCCTTGCCAGGCCCCAGGGCCGTCAAAGAACGGCTCCGGATGAGAAACGTGGGTCGGGATTTCTGGGGACCGCGTGCTGAAGAAATCATGGCGTCGCATGTCTGGGAACGGGTCCCGAGGAACACGGGGGTCCGGAAACTTTTTGCCGTCCTCGGGCTCTCGGGGCCCTCGGCGTGCCCCAGGGCTGGCAGGAAACGACCCAGGGTGAAGATCTCGCCCTGGGGGAAGGCCCCAGGGGTCCAGGACCTCGGGAGCGGAGGGTGGATAGCGTGGCCGGGCCTTGATGCCCCTTCTTATTTCCATGTGTCCCCAGACCCCCCCCCGTGGGCCGCGCGCATGCCGCCGGCCATCATCTGCACCCCCCCTCCTGGACGCCCCCGTCTTGGACGGCCCCGAGGAGCGCCTTCGACGAGGCGATGCAGGCGCTCGACGAGCCCGCGCTGCGGGCGGCCATGGACCAGGCCTCGGGGCAGAGGAGCCAAGAGGTCATGATGATGATGAGGATGAGGATGAGGATGAGGATGAGGATGATGAGGAGGAGGAGGAGGAGGATGATGATGATGATGATGATGATGATGATCATGATGATACGTTCCAGGGTTTCCAGGATCTGGGCCTCCCATATGGGGTCAGAGTGAAAGGGGTCGGAGGATCGCGCCGCATCGCCAACACATCGGGGATGCGGCTCGATGTGGAGCCGGATGCGCCGCCAGCGCCGATGCATCGCCTACGTCGCTGGTGCATCGCCAATGCATCGGCGATGCATCGCCGATGCATCGGCGATGCGGCGCGATCCTCCGACGCCATCTCCTTCGACCCCAACCAGGAGGCCTCTACAAGATGTTCAGGACTTCCTAGACGCGGGCTGCAGAAACGAGGGCCGCCAGATACTCTCGGAAATCCTGGACGCATCCTGAGCCGATCATATCATGACATCATTCCCCTCCTTTCGGATGCAACTCCTGGGAGGTCAAATTCTGATCCGTAAGGGCTCCGCCCCCTGCCGCCGGCCCCCTCTCTCGGAGAATGGGCCATGGAAGAGCTAAATCATGAGGCCTTGGCGCTGTCGTGAAGCAGTATCGAAACTTCATGCGAAGCCGATTCGCAATCAGCAAAACCAACTGATCACAAGAGGGGTTACCACACCTGGCGATTGGTAAGACGTGTATGGTTTACGGGCTTGGTTACCACACCTTGCGATTAAAGGGCCGAGGGAGTTCTCGCAGTTTGGGTTACCACGCCTTGCGATGGATGTGCGTGAAGGGTGGCACCGAATTTCAGAAATGTGGCAAATCCCCTGTGTTTTTGGACCCTGACCCCGCGGATCTGCGTGAGGGGTGGCACCGAATTTCAGAAATGTGGCAAATCCCTGTGTTTTTGGACCCTGACCCCGCGGATCTGCGTGAGGGGTGGCACCGAATTTCAGAAATGTGGCAAATCCCCTGTGTTTTTGGACCCTGACCCCGCGGATCTGCGTGAGGGGTGGCACCGAATTTCAGAAATGTGGCAAATCCCCTGTGTTTTTGGACCCTGACCCCGCGGATCTGCGTGAGGGGTGGCACCGAATTTCAGAAATGTGGCAAATCCCGACCCTGACCCCGCGGATCTGCGTGAGGGGTGGCACCGAATTTCAGAAATGTGGCAAATCCCCTGTGTTTTTGGACCCTGACCCCGCGGATCTGCGTGAGGGGTGTCATTTCGAGCTCCCCCAGCAATTCAGACAACGCGCCCAGGAGACGCTAAAAATCTGGTTTGGGCCTCCCCCCCCTCGCGCGGTCAATCAACTAGTTACAGTAACCAGCAAGAAGCAGAATTGTAACACTGGAAACTACAAGCTACAACTGGTACAGGAAACTGCGAACCCGCGCCTACAGCCTGGTGGCCCCACAAGGGGGCCGGCGGATTTTGCCCTGGTCCGCAATTCGGCTCAAATCGGCTTGATCCCGTTTGATCCCGCTTATTCCTGCTTAATCCAGCTCAATCCCACTTCATCCGCGGCCTCATCTGGCGCAGCAGCCCCCGAAGGGGGCCTAGTTCTCCCTCGTCCCTCCGACGAAGACCTCCCAGTGAGTAGCTGCTTTCTAAGCTCCTACAGGCGCTCGGCATCGTGCGGGCCCTGCACTCCGCGATGGGGGACCTCGTCGCCACCGTGCGCCTGCTGGAGGAGGCGCACCGCGCCGCCTGCGACCGCGCGCGGCGGGCTGCGGAGGGCCACGCGGAGGTGGCCCACTTCTGGTCCGCCGCGCTGGAAGCCACCCAGGCGGTGCAGTCGAAGATGAACCACCACTGGAAGCTGACAACGAGCACCATGCAGCGCGCGGAGGTCTCCAAGCGGACCGCGATGATGAAGGCGGACGACGTGGTGCGCCTGGTGAACGAGAAGCTCCAGCGCTGGCAGGACGAGCGCCAGATACTGGCGGAGGAGGCGATGGAGGCGGAGCGGATGCGGCTGGAGGCGATGCGGCAGCAGCAGGAGGAGCTCCTGGCCGCCGCGCGGGAGGCCGAGGTCGAGGCGATGCGCCAGCAGCAGGAGCAGCAGCGCCTGCACATGGAGGCGGCGCAGCGGCGGCAGGAGGCCATACAGTGGGGCAGGCACCTGGTGGCGCCCGCCCCGCAGCTGCAGTTCCTGGACCCCAGGCAGCAGGGCGCGGCCGAGCAGCTGCAGCTGCAGCAGCAGCTGGAGCAGCAGCTGCTCCGGCAGCAGCAGCTCCAGCAGCTGCACCAGCAGCAGCAGCAGCAGCAGCAGCAGCAGCAGCAGCAGCAGCGACCAGAGCAGCCCTGGCCACCGGAGACACCGCTGCCCTGCTCGGCCGGCGACGGTGGGCCGCCGCCACCCCGGGCCGGCGATGGCGGCGCGCCGCCGCCGCCGCCCCCCGACCCGGAGGACACGGGCGCCGCGCCACCGGGGCCGCCGCCCGAGCCGCCGCCGCCGGCCGACGCCGCGCCGCAGGCTCCGCCGCCGCCACCAGACGCGGAGGAGCCCGCGCCCTTCGGCGGGCCCGGGTGGCCGCCGGGGTCCGCGCAGCAGGCGCCGCCGCAGCCGCCGGGGCGGCCGCCGTGGCAGGGGACTCCAGGTCTCTGGGCCTCCCAGACGGGGCCGGAGCAGACGGGGTCGGAGGAGTGCGCCGCATCTCCGCCGGTGCGGCTCGGCGTGGGGCCCGAGGGTCCCCGCGCCGACGCGTCGCCGGCGCATCGGCGCTGCGGCGCGGTCCTCCGATCCCATCAGCTCGGAGCCCATCTGGGGGGCCTCTAAAGGTCCGCCCTGGCACCGGTCTCACCACCGCCGGTTATGAGGGGGGGGCGCGCCCCCTCGCCGGCGGCGGCCGTCTGCTGGGCACGCGCCGCTCGCGCGGCCTGGCCGGACCGCAGTGCCAGCCGGGGGCAAAAGGCGGTGGCTCCGCCCGCCTGGTCCTCGTCCTCCGTTGCCCTTTCTCCTCATTCGGGGGTGGACAGACCTCCTACCCTGACACGTCGATTAAGGAATTGGCCGTTTTTGGTTCGCGAGAGGGCGTCGCGGCCGTCATTTTTGCGGGTCCAGGTCCGTCGGTTTCGGTCCCAAGCCGTTTTCACTAAGGGGAGGTCTACTAAAGGGAGGTTTGTCCACCGCCGACTCATCCCTCTGTCGATGATCCTGAGGGCGTGTGTCAGCCCGCGAGTTCCATGTGGCGAACTATGCTTACCTCGTTCGGCTCCCCAGCAGCACGCAGGTTGTGTCGGCACTCGTTGCGCCGAAAGCCTCGTATCGAAGGGCCTCGGTGGGCAAGCGCCCCCCCCCCCCTTGGAAAACTTCCCCTAGGGGGGTTCGGGAGAGGTGTTAAATAATGGGTTTCCGTCATGTGTTTGTTGGATGTGGCTACGAGGGGGTGGTGGGTTTTCCCCAGAAGGCCCCCTCAAGGGGTGCTTTTGCGGGGGGTAGGGGTTGGTTGTGGGTTGTCTCCCCAGGGACCACCCCTTCAAGGGGGGTTTCTAGGAAGGCACCAACTATACACCAACACCGATCCTGGCCAGGATCACCCTGGGCCCAGGATCGGTGTATACGCCATCCTGCCTTGCGCAAGAAGGCATATACACCGATCCTGGGCCCAGGGTGATCCTGGGCCAGGATCGGTGTTGGTGTATAGTTAGTGCCCTCCGAGTTTCGGAGGGGGTTTTCCTTCCAGGACCCCCCCCGCCAAGGGAGGTTTTTGGAATGCTTGGGGAGGGGGTCCCCCCGGGACCCCCCCCTCAATGTTTTTGTGATTCGGGCAGTTGGTGATGGCTTGTAGGTTTTCCCGAGGGCCAGTGTTTTCCCCCTGGGCTGTGCGTTGTGCGCATGCGTTGCAAGCCATGTGGTGCAACGTGCGCGGGGTAAAGTAACATGCGAATGCCATGTAGTATAGCGCACGGGGCGCCCACAGGGCTCCCGCAGCCGAGAACAAGAGAGTGGGACGAAACCATGCGACGCACGCAGCAACACGAAAACGACACCGACGGGCTTCAGGAGAGAAACAAAAAGCACACAGACACAATTAATCGTCGATTCCCCAGAAAATATGGGAAAATATGGGCAGTGGGGGGGAAGACAGAAACCCAGAAAATATTGGAAAATATGGGGAATGATTTTATTTGTGTGCATTTATTTGTGTGTCCTGGGGCCCCTTCAGGGTTTGTTCATACTAGCAACAGAATCACACGTTGAAGCCAGGCTTCGTTGGACAGCCGGTGGCAAGCCATTCGTCTTCACGCGCGTTCAGACACTTACGTATCGCTTACCATTGCTTACCTAGCGGTCTTCTCCCGGCTTCCGTGCATCGCTTCCTTCTCCTGTCTTCGTTCTCTCATCCCTCCGCGGCGCCCCGACGCTCCCTTGCGACCTCCCTGTCGCGCCTGGCGGAAGTGCGAGCAGTTGTTGCTTCCATCGTCGCCTGCGCGTTTCGGCGTCGGGCCCGCCTCCTGACTCCTCCCTCCCTCCCTCCCTCCCTCTGCCTCCCTGAGCACCCGTTTCTGCGTCAGTTCTCCCACCTGCGAACTTGGCCAAAACATCTGGACCGCCCGCCCGCCGCCCGCCCGCCGCCCGCCATCCGCCGCCCGCCATCCGCCCGCCCGCACGCCGTGCGTCCGCGTTCATCACAACACCGGGTCCTCAGCAGCCTCCGTGTCCAACACAACACTTAGTATTCAACAGCATCCTGTCTCCGACGCAACGCTCAGCACTCGACAGCATCAACGCTGGAACGCGCAGGCCCTTTTGCGCGTGACCCCAAGCGGCACCGGCAAAAGAGGGCGCACTGCTTGAATTTATTGCGCTCTGCTGATTTCCTTTCCTGGCTCTGCAGGAGACGCACAGCACGCTTGGGGCCGCAGCGGTGGCGAAGTTCCCCGACAGCGTCGCTATTTGGCGGCCCCGTGTATCTCAATCAATCGGCGGAGTGGAAATATGGTCAAGGCCGCGTTCTTGGACAAGTTTGGAGGTGCCACCCGCGCTGCCTGGGTGGAGGCCGCGCCAGGACGGGCAGCCATCCTGAGATTGGACGGATCGAGTGGCTCTTTGGACATCGCCGTCTTATACCTCCCTGCGCGGCATGCGTCTGCTGAGCGGGCGGCAATCAGGGACTCGGTGGTACGTGATCTTCGGCCGCGAGACCGGCCTCCCTCTCTGCTGATCGGGGATTGGAATTTGCACGTGAGACGAATAACAGATTTAATGTGTCCGATGCTGAATGGTCTGCCAGTTCCGACCTGGAACAGCACCGGGAATGGGCCGCTGCGCTCTTCGAGCCGCTCGGATTCTACGAGATCTTTCAACCAGAGTGCACCCGTAGGACATCTTCGAGCACCTCGCGGCTGGTCTGGGCGTGCGTGCACACGCACGCACATCGCGGACCAGTTCTACCGGACCTGGTCGTGCGCGGTGCTTGACTGGCGCAGCTGACTTTCACACCACCGGCCGATCGAGACCGCCAGGCGCACTCCGGGACAGGAGAGCCCCACAAGGCGGCCAATCCCCAGAGCGCCATGGCGCTCGACGGGGTGGGCGGCCCGGGCGACGGTGCGCTGGCAGGATCTTCGTCGACGGGACAGCCTGCGCGACGCTGCGCACCGCCGGCTGCTGCTGCTGCTCAAACGTGCAATCGGCCAGATTTCATGGAGGAGTCTGCTCGTGGAACTGCTTCTCCCGAGGCGGCCTCAGTGTAAGACCGCTTGAGCGTCGTTCTGCGCTGCTCGCGGGCGGCCGAGGACGGAAGACCGCTGGCAGTGGAACGTGCAGCGCGGGAATGTCCAGACATCGCTCGCAGGTTGTTCATACTCAGCGTCGCGCCAGGGAGCTCGGGCGGCCATCGTGGGCATCAAGGACGTCATCCTCCAGCTCGCGAGGGGCGAGATCCGCCAGGACGTCGACGGGCGGCACAACGACTTGCCTGGCATATCGGACGCTTCCGCGGCAGCCTGCAGAGAATCGATTGCCACGAAGACTCGTCGCAACAAGCCGGGGGGCACCGCCCAGCTCCGCGCGATCCGGATGCTCGACGGCTCGGTGACCACGGACCTGGAGCAGATCGCCGACGCGCTGGCCCAGCACCAGAGACGCATTCGGCAGGCAAGATATCGACCAGGACGCACTATCGGCGTGGTTGCGCGAGGCGGCGCCCACCTCGGAACGCAACCCGCTGCCTCGGGGCAGCGAGTTCTGGCGCACCACCAGGCCAGACAATGCGCGGGCTGTTCGCGCGGCGTCCAACTCCGCGCCCGGCCCGGAGGGTGTCCCGGCTTCCCTGTGGAAGCGTCTCGGGAGTTTGGCGGTGGACGCGCTGGAGGACGTGGCCACTTGCCTCCAGTCCGATTCCGCAGTAAACGGCATCAGAGAGGCGTACCAAGATGATCCAGGCTCCTTGAACCTCGGCGCGCTCTGGTGAATCCCGGCAAAAGCAGGGGGCATGGGCCCGGCGCTAGGCGTAGTCCACCAACCCAGAAGCATGAGGCCATTATGCCTGGTGGGCGCGTCGAATCGGTTGCTCGCCTCGGCGCGCAAATGGAGGCGGGGGCAGGGGCTCGGACCGCGGGTCTCCGAGCCCCTGCCTGGCCGCTCAGTGATGTTGAGCGTCGTCGAGCTGGACGCGGGCGCTCTTCGGACCGCGGCCTAATGTGCCCAGGGCATGGTAGTGCTCGTGGGCTTCCGCGCCGCGTTCCCAGCGTGGCGCGCGACTTCCCGCGCGAGCGCTTGCGCGGCTACGGCGCGCCGGAAGAGGCCCCGACTGCGCTTTGTGCTTCCTGCGCGGACGGGGCCTGCTCGATCTCGGTCGCTGGTGGCTGATGGAACGGGTTTGCTGTTGGATCGGGCATCCGCCAAGGCTGCCCGCTGTCGCCCCTGGTGTTTGCCGCCGTCGCGGACCTACTCCTGCGTGCGTTCCCGCCCCGGCTCGGCCGGGGCCTGCCTCGTCCGCGCGTTCGCCGACGACGTGGGCATCATCTTGGACAACGTGCCCAAGCAACTTCCGATTCTTGCTGCCGCGCTCGAAGAGTTCGGCCGCCTCTCGGGCGTGCGAATAGATCTAGAGAAGAACATCGGCATCCCACTGTCGGGCGACAGTTTGGAGGAAACGCGCGCCGCGGTCAGCGAGGCTGCGCCCTCTTGGCCCCGACCCCCCCGGCCCCGCGAGGCCACCTACCTCGGGGGCGCCATCGGCCCAGGGAGGGTTGGCAAAGGGTGGGATCGAGCAGCCGCGCGCTTCCAGGATCGCGCTCCCGGGCGGCCGCGGCCAGCGCTGGGCCTGCGCTCCCCGTGCTTAGTAGTTCTACTGCCCAGATTGCGGGCGCAGACGACGCGGTCGGCGAGCTGGAGAAGTGGGCCGTGCGACGAGCGGCCCCTGACCCTGGCAACAGAGCAATGCCGGAAGACTTGTGGTATCTTGATGGGAATTTCGGCATGCCGCAGGCTTTCGGGCAGCTGGCCTCGCCGGCGCAGGCAGCGAAACCCCGCCTGACTGCGCGCGAGGATCAGCGGCTCAGCAGAACCAGCCTGGAGCGGATGGCGCCGCTTGAGTTTCGAGCAGACTGGGATCAATCGCAGTAGATGTTGCGCGTCGGGCGCTGGGCAGGCGTGCCGCGCGCCTCCGCCCCCAGCGCGCTCGCGCGCAACGCGCGGCAGCCCCGGCGAAAGGGCATCACGGCCGGGCGAATTGCTGCTGCACTGACCGGTCGGAGTCCCGAAGCGCTGCTGGCCGAGGCGCGGAAGCAGGCCTGGCATTAATTCCAGCGGGAGGCGCGGGGGCGGGCGCGCTCACTGCACCTGGAACGTTGGAAGTTTCCACCCGCGCTTGGGCTGCCAATGCCGCGGGCGCTTGCAGACGGATTCCTTCTGCGCGCCTGGGCGCTTGGGCGCCCAGTGCCGCCCGCGTTGCCTGGAACGGCCGGCGCGCTGCGCGCCGATTTCAGCGCCGCGATGGACCGCGGGATTTCTATGTTTGGGGCGTGGTTGCAGAC